TGTTCCTCTCGTACTCTGCATGAAATGACTGCATATTTTAATTAAGCTCCCCAATTATAAAAGGACAACATTTGATAATGGGAGTCAAAGTGAGTGGACTATTCAGTAAATGACAAAGCAATTCCCTTGGCACAGTGATACCCAGATTAGATGGCTGAGGGAGTCTTTGGCACCTCGCAGCTCCAGGCAATAATGACAAAAGAAGCTGAATTCCTGCAGAAAATAAACATGCAGGGCCAACATGAAACCATGCCAAAAATGTTAATATTCATATCAAGTGACATGTTCTGACTATAAATTTAAAGCTATTGTAACTGAACCTACAGGAAAACTAACATCTGTCTCTTGGAGATTAGTCAAGAGAAGAATAAGGGGCACATATGTAGACCCTTACTGATTGCTTTGTTATTACAAGACATATGGAAATATAATTCATAATCAACTTGTCCTTAATTAGGAGAAGCATAAAAACCATATGCTCAATTCAGCTGACAGACAAACTCTTTAATACGAGTAACTCTGCAGCTTCTATGGAAATACAGTTCATAGCTGCTGTCCATCAACACTGTCACTGAATCATCTACAGTATCAGACATTTTCTGTACTGAATAAGCTTTAACAATTGCAAACATAACAGCCAAACCATTTTAAAGAGAGCAGTTTTATGTTATATGCTAGATTTCAAAGGTTTTATTAGTAAGCTTTGCTGTGGCATTCAAAGAAAGAACAATGCATGTGTTTTCTGGCCAGATGCTCCTTTCAAACCTCTGAACAGGAGCAACATCACAGCAGCACCAGGTGTGGATGCTGAACAAAACAGTCAGAGCTTTATCAACTCTGTTTTTTGGTAATAAATTGAAGGTTTGCCATAAATGTCAAGGAACCAGCTTACTTCAAACGACAGCACCCATAATTCTTTGTGAACCATGTGTTTCAGGTTGATTCCACTGACTAGACAGGTAATAAAAGTGTAGGGGGGACCAACATGATAAAGTGGCCTCTAGGGCGCCCTTCCAGTGGAGAAAACTTAATAAAGTGCCCTCTATGGTGCACTTTTAGTGGAGAAAACTTCATAAAGTGCCCTCTATATGGTGCCCTTTCAGTGGAGAAAACATTTTTGTGTCCAAACCTAACCAAACCGTAGCCATAACTCTGTCACATCAAATAAATATTTATTGTTCAGCAGTGATTTGTAATGGATTTGGAAGACATTTAAGGTGAACAGGAAATTAATTACCCAAACTGTCAGCTGTAGACATCCATCGTAGCTTACAGACCAACTTACTAAACTGTTGGCTTGTTTACAACCTCTCTGTTCCTACGCCTGCTTGTGATTCTTGCCCTGTTGGAATTTGTTTTATCAGTGTTGTTGTGTTCCCAGATCTCAGTAATTAACTTGGTGAGCACAGCGTTATCATAGCTGATAGGAGTGGCCAAGTCTATAAAAATAGGACCCAAGTAGTAACACACCAGAATTATCCTCTAAACTAGTTGTGAGTAGTATCACTCCACCACATGATAACGTTGATTAAATAAATATACATCAGTTTGAGGTAATAATCTGCTGGTTTTCATATCGTAATATCCTTTTCATTTACTACTGAGTCACTGTGCTCGGAGGCAAGTCAGAGAGCGCACATGATATGTGGTTTTGTTTGTTCCTCTTCTGGGTTCCCAACACAGTGAGAGCAGCAGATCAAGGTGAAAAAGGCAGTGTTTGAGTTCAGGTATCAGCGGGTCATTCCCCTTGTTCTACTTGTCATTCATGCAGTTTGTTTTTATTAAACCGATTTCCTCCTTGCTGAGCATTGCTTTCATTTACATTCTATTGATTTCAGCGCTTTTGAGTGCAAGTGTTTTCTTGTTTCTGTGCAGCTGTAACAGACTTTTAGCTGTTTTATTGTTTTTCTAACTACAAAAAACATTAAATGCATTAAGTAAAATGCCAAGATAAGAGCACAGTTGAATAACTAAGAAGAAACACGTGAGGTCCATGCATAAAGACATACAAGCAAAGGGAGAGAAACAAGGCACAGCATGTAAATCAAAATATAAAGTGCACAAATGGGAATATCAAATAAGTATGAATCCCATAAGAGGACACATGGGAAAACCTTACATCTGTATTTTCCTGGCTTCCTCTGCACTCGCCTAATGTATCATAATGGAAAGTACTGCAGTTTCACATTCAGGAAATGGACTCTCAAATAGATGGGAGCATTTCTGAGTGAAATGAGTTGCAGCGTCATTGACCAATTACTTTTCACCAATTATCTCCATCCGGCATGTTTATGAATAAAATGAGCTCCACAGTGGACGCAGAGGGGAGGTCATTATCAGCCAACACAACATAATTGCAGATGGGCTGGCTGCTTTGGGCAATGATAGGCATCTTGAGCATGCACACCCAGGCCCAGCCAGGAGCAGAGAGCATGCGGGAACACAATGTCCCTGTGCTCGAGTGGCAAAGAGCAGACTCAGAGGTTTGATTTTTGGGAATCATTATCAACAGACACGCTGCAACCCACACAATTATCAATTACTATAACAAATCTTCTCAAATTCTCTAGGCCAGATAAGTGTGCATGGGACAATTTTCCCCTATTCCCATCAGGCCCAATTGCTGGAGCCCCACCAGCTTCACAAAGCCGCCCAGTTCAGTAAATCCAATTTCCTTGCAAATGGTGTTTAGCTCTTTGAAAATTAAGGAAAACTTAAGAAATGTGCTACATACACACACAGTGAATAAGGCAACCAGTGTGTGTGTGTGTGTG